GCAACATCGCAGTTCATTGCTGTGCCTTAGCAGAATGATACGGTGAAGCAAACGCCCGCCTCTGTTCATACAAAGCTGTAAGAGATGGTTTATGCTCCGAATTCAGCATTATGGACTCATGAACGTGCAATATCCGCATTTCACTCCCCAACATTCACACTGCGTGTTCAACTTCCCATTTCTGTAGATACCACATCACCGCATTGACGCAACAATTCAAGCAGTATCCACTGGCAAGCTAGTGGGCTTGATTATGATGCGCATCTCCTCATCGAATGATGGCTTGGCTCTTTACCAAGGGAAGGGAGGATGCATTGTTACTATAAGTGGAGCCACCTTAACCTCGGTTATCTCTGGTCTAGTGCGATATGATTGAAATTCCATTCGAGGTTGGGCCCCATATTCGGGCAATCGTGTCCACAGCACCTGCAATTTTACCGCACTTTGATTCCGATTTGGCAGCTATCTGGAATATGTGAGCAATTGCCTCATCCCAACTGATTCCTCTCTTCTCTCTCTTTTCTTCAACTCACTCCTACTTGCCTATCCCACGATAAATGTGCAAGCGAGGTAGCTCATTCAACACTCTCTACTTTACTTCATAAAAAGCATTCCTTCGTGCTGAAGAAAGGAGATAAAGATGGACCAGCAGACGAGCAGGTAAATGACTGAATGAATGCACGCAGGCGTGGATGAGTGACTGGATGACTATTATTATTCTGCACGCATGAGTGAATGTGGGATGAATGAATGAGGAGTAAGTGGAGAGAAGTATGCAGCTGCCCTCACCACATCAACAGCCACTTCTTCTACTCTGCAATATTCACTGGGGATTTAGTCATCTGGACCAGTCTGTGGTCCATTGTTATATGCTTCCACTTCTCACATATTCTCGTTCTCTTTACATTTTTGTGCTTCTCTTTCTTGCAATTTCACTCGTTCATTCTCATATTTATTCAAACACATTACTTGTATTTAATTAGTAAAGGCGCAATGTTGCACATGCGAGGAAACCTCATTGTCGGTTGGTAGGTGGGTGCTGTAGCACAACAGAGGAGAACATGTTCTTTGTAAAGTCGTGGCAGATTTTGACAAACCTAAAACACGACTTTGTATACAAGTTAACAACCTGTAACATTGCCTAAGTAAAAGATTGCGTTAATGAACGTCAAATAAGTCATTCATGTGAACTTCTTGATGCAAAATATTTGTGCCCGGAAGCACTTTCTATTACTGGTCTGTTCTACTCAGCCTGCTTTACGAAACTTGATTGTGTTTTGCAATAATGATCTCATATGCTCATACCATATTACTGGGCGAGAACGCAATTTGTTGTAGTGAATTCTTCCACGCGTTGTGGACCATTCGGGAGTCTGGATTTTGTGCAGTACACAACTCATTCTCTGATAAATACTACTGAAAAACAGCGTGACCACTTCCACGTCTTACAGTGTGTGAGAGAGTGGTGGCTCAATGTGAGTAAATACAGAGTGATGCACCTGCGCATGCGAATGATGAAGTGGATTCAGCAATGCAACACGCATACATCGCTCTCCCTCAGCTTCTTGGTATTGTTTGTTGGGCAAAGACAAATATTTGATGGGGTTGACTTTTCACCAAAACTGAGGTAGCCAGCAAAGTGAGACAGAATGCAAACGCCACCTTCAATACAGAAATGCGTGGGAGTCGCAACATAGGGCGCAATTGTAGAAATGGCCCACCTACAAGACGGCATCTGCATTCGCACACCGAGCATGTGACATGATGCCTCGTGTGGGCGATTTCACCTCCAACACCCACATTTGCTATCATCAGGGTGCACAGAGGAGCAATTTGAGACCAAAGGCAATGCACGTTCGCTTCATCAAATCTCACACGCCATTTCAAACCGCATTTGTGTGACCTCGAGGAGGAGATGAACAGTGGGTGTCAATGTTGTCAAATGAGCTGGAAGGCGCTGAATATTTCCTTGTCTTGTTGGCTAATAGGTAAGTAAGTAAACGGAGTTAACTGCCCTTCATTAATGAAAATGTCATGTTTTGGCAACCAACACGGACAAATAACGACCCAGTAGAATTCACATTATCCTGCCGGAACTCTGGTTTTCCTTCGTAGCCAGAAAAGCGTCAGTGCGCTATTTGGTACTCACATTTGGCACATCTCTTCAAACAAAGTATTGCAGATGAGGTCAAGCAGATGTTGCCCCACTAGCATTCACCGAACTTGCAGCGCTAACGGCTCTGGCAGACTTAAATGCAACTGTTCTGGAGTGCTTTCACACTGTGGTCTTTGTCAACGGCGTGTGTTTAACTCCTATGCAACAATTACCTATCCTAATAGTGTGTAGTCTCGCACCGTAACGTTGAAAATTACAAAATAATATGCAATACTGTAGGAGCAGCGCCCCCACAACTTGTCTGCACGTGCTGATGATGGGGACGATCTTACGCCTTCAACATGCATGAAGAGTTATTCCCTCATCGATTATGTCGGTCAGCTTGCATTCAGGAGCAAAGATGAACTGAACGCATGCTAGGACAAATTGCGAAATGAAGCCGCCTG